TTCCAGGAGTTGAATGCCTTCCCCCGGGAGGTGGGGGGCTCAGGGGCAGGGCTGCATCCAGTTGTGTACCCCTGCACAGCCCTGCTGCTGCTCTGCCTCTTCTCCACTATCATCACCTACATCCTCAACCACAGGTGGGAGCTCCTGCTGGAAGGGAGGGTGTGGTGGGAAGGCTGAGGGTCTCACAAAGTACTGGCAAGTGTTCCTTTCCCAGGTGGGTCCACATGACATTCCCAGGCTCTTGCCGAGCATTTTCTTTGAAGGTCCTGGGGTTGGAAAATACATTTTGGAGGTTAAAGCCTTCCTGCCCTGGGCCTTTTATCACATTCACACACATGCATGCACACTGATATCTGCTGTTCCCTCTTTGGCCCTTCCAACGGCTTTGAGATCCCATTGGCTTGACCTTAGGCTGGGTGGCCCATTAATTAAAGACTGTTTCTGGGACAGCTCCATCCACGTGTCCCGGAAGGCCTCACACATGCTGCTGCCCCTGTGCTTCCACATGGCCATGACCTCCGCCGTCTTTGCAGGAGGCATCACACTCACCAACTACCAGATTGTGTGCCAGGCAGTAAGCAGAAGGGGCTGGGGGGCTGGGGGGAGCTCTAAGATTCATGATAACAGCCTAGGGACAGAATAGGGAGGTGCAGAAGAAAAAGGGTGTTCACACTAATAGGCCCCAGCTCCATTGTTCTCTCTGTGTCAAGTCTTACTTGTGAGGGGAGGAAGACACAAGAGTAGGTGGTGGCCAGAAGCGAAGAAACTGGGAGGTGGCTCTTCAAAGTGGAGAGTGGGGACCTGCAATGGAGGAGAGGTCAGGGGCCAACCAGATAGCAATAACAGGGTCATGGAGAGTCACCAGACTGGGAGAAAACCTTGGGGTATAAATAGAGAGGGTAAGAGCAGGGACAGAACCTTGGGGTGAAGCTGGGTGGAGTTGGGGGCTGGGAACCTGGGAGAAGTGGGAGCACACTGCAGGGCTGAGGCTCTGCAATGGCTCCAGTGGTAGCAGCCCAGTCCCGCAGCCTCGGTGCCTTGATCCTGCAGGTGGGCATCACTCTGCACTACTCTTCATTGTCCACACTGCTCTGGATGGGTGTGAAGGCCCGCGTTCTCCACAAGGAGCTCACTTGGAGGGCACCTCCTCCACAAGAAGGGGACTCTCCCCCACCTGCTCCCCATCCCATGCTCCGGTACATGCTCAGCTTTGCAATGGGGAAGGGCTCAGAGGAGGGCATAGGACATCAAAATCTGTTTTCTCAGGGAGGATGCAGGGTGGGTCTAAGGTCCTGAGAGACCACTCTCCAAAGACAGAAGAGGCAAGGTCCTAGGCGTCAGCAGGTTGCCCAAGGTCATGTAGTGGGTGCATTCTTAGGGCTTTCCAGGCATGACAAAGCCAGGGAAGGAAGTGACTCCAACAAAGCAGGGAAGGGCACTGAGCAGGGATCCTGGGAACCTGAATGGCATACCCAAATTCTGTACTGTTTAGGGTGACAGAGCAATTCTAGCCTCTGTTCCTTAGAACAGTCTTGGCCAAGTCCCCTAGGGATTGACCAAGACTAGCCAAAAAAAAAAAAAAATTATGACAATTTAAAGGGGAAAGAGGATGGGCCAGAAACCTGGAGTCAAGGGTTCTGAGCACCTGGTTCCTCCCCTATGTTTCCCATCACTCTGACCCCCAAACCCCATTCCTCTCCAGGTTCTATTTGATCGCCGGAGGGATCCCACTCATTGTCTGTGGCATCACAGCTGCTGTCAACATCCACAACTACAGGGACCACAGCCCCTAGTGAGCACGATTCCTGCCTGACCCAAACCTACCCACCCCAGCACCAGATGCCATCCACTCCACTGGTGGGGCACCTGCCTGGCCCACCCAGCCAGTGACCCCACCCAAGCCCTTGCATGTTGACTAAGCCAGTCTCTGTCAACTCACTTTATTCTCTATATCCCCAAGCACCCAGCCTATGAGCCCTGCCTCAGACATGTTCCCCATCCTTATCCACTGCTTGTGTCTCCCCTCAGCTGCTGGCTGGTGTGGCGTCCAAGCCTAGGAGCCTTCTACATCCCAGTGGCTTTGATTCTGCTGATCACCTGGATCTATTTCCTGTGTGCAGGGCTGCACTTGCGGGGTCCTCTGGCACAGAGCTCAAAGGGGGGCACCAGCAGGGACTCCCTGGACCCAGGAGAGGAGCTGAGGGGTTCCACCAGGCTCAGGAGCAGCGGCCCCCTCCTGAGTGACTCAGGTTCCCTTCTGGCTACCGGCAGCGCAGGGGTGGTGACGCCTGGGCCCCCAGAGGATGGCGATAGCCTCTATTCTCCGGGAGTCCAGCTAGGGGCGCTGGTGACCACACATTTCCTGTACCTGGCCATGTGGGCCTGTGGGGCTCTGGCAGTGTCCCAGCACTGGCTGCCCCGGGTGGTGTGCAGCTGTCTGTATGGGGTGGCGGCCTCCGCCCTGGGCCTCTTCGTCTTCACCCATCACTGTGCCAGGCGCAGAGACGTGAGGGCGTCTTGGCGCGCCTGCTGCCCCCCTGCCTCGGCCTCAGGTGCCTCACCCCGGGCTGAGCCCGCCACCCCACAGGACGGTTCTCCAGTATTCGGAGAGAGGCCCCCCTCCCTGAAGTCCTCCCCGAGCAGCAGCAGCGGCCATGTGCCGCCCCCGGCCCCCTGCAAGCTTACCAACCTGCAGCTGGCCCAGAGTCAGGTGTGCGAGACAGGAGTGGTGACCCGTGGGGAAGGGGAACCAGAGCCCGCAGGCTCCCGGGGAAGCCTTGCCCCCCGCCACCCCAACAACCTGCCCCACGGGCGCCGAGTGCACAAGAGTCGGGCCAAGGGGCACCGTGCAGGGGAGGCAGGTGGCAAGAACCGGCTCAAGGTGCTGCGTGGGGGCATGATGGCCGGGGCCCCTGAGCTGCTGTCCAGCGAGAGCGGCAGCCTACACAACAGCCCGTCCGACAGCTATCCAGGCAGCAGCCGCAACAGCCCAGGCGCCCGCCTCCAGCTCGAGGGAGAGCACACGCTCACGCCATCTGAGGGCAGCGACACAAGCACGGCGCCGCTCCCCGAGGCGTGCCGGCCGGGCCAGCGCCGCAGCGCCAGTCGCGACAACCTCAAGGGTGGCGGGGGCAGCGCACAGGAGAAGGAGAGCAAGCGCCGCTCGTACCCACTCAACACAGCCAGTCTGAATGGCGCTCCCAAGGGCGGCAAGTACGACGACATCACCATGAGCAGCGCCGAGGCGGCTGGCAGTGGCTACATGAAGACAGGCCTCTGGAAGAGCGAGACCACTGTCTAGGGCGAGGGCAGGTGACACTTTAGGACAGGCTGGGCACACGAGCTTGTTATCCTGGCTTCTCGGGGGCCCTCAAAGACGTCTATCGGTACGTCAACAGGCTTGAGGTGGAGGTGCCGAGGGCTGCACCTGGGCTCACCAGCTTTAGTCCTGCAGGCTGAGGAAAAGGAGAGGCAGAGGCTTGCCACTGGTAAGAGAGCCATCTCTCTGGGGTAGCCATAGACAATCCCAGGGCCACAGGCATCACACATTTCCGTCCCAGCCCAGGCTAGTTTTGGCAATTATGAATGCCATCCAGGGTAGTGGGGAAGGCCCTGTTAGTCTGTGGAGTGATGAACAGAAGGGCACAGCACAGCCCAGGCAGGCTTCTCCCAAGGTGCTGCCCACATCTTGTCTGCACTGCCTCACTGGTGGGCATCAGTCTTGTCAGGAAAACAGAGATGAGAGCTTGAGTAAAATGTTCTCACTGCCCTCCTCTGTTGTCAGCCATCTGTGCCTAGATCTTAGGACTTCTCCCCGACCCAGTTTTTGCCTAACTAGGGAGCCAGCCTAGCAGATGAGCCAGGTGACCAGGACCAATGGGAAGTAACAAGGTGCTGCTTTTCAGATTAACTATGCAAGAGGAGGTGGGGCAGTGTGAAAGGCAGTTTGGGAGATCAACTAGTCCTGCGGAAGGGGGGCAGGTGCACAATTAGGGAGGGACACGATTCCCACAGGATTGGTACACACCACACAGCAGGGCTCCAAGGTGACACTTAAGGACAAAGCCAAGGTCCTACACCTAAGAAGCTGACTCTGCCAGATGCCTGGGGATAATTTGAGGGAAGTAGAAAGTAGTGCTTAAATTTGGCACTGAAGTTATTCATGCCTTAAACCTAGTCCTATAAACAATGAAGAGGGGCTCCACCGCAGGGCTGCAGGTGGTGTTGGAGAAGCATTTACTAGTTCAATTAAAAGACCTATGTCCCCAGTCTCAGCGTTCCAACACCAAGGGACTGAGGAAGAGTACTTCCCTGCCTCCATGAGGCCATGTGGAAGAGCTATTTCAATCACTTGATCTCTAGCTCTATATTACGGAGAAAGCTCCAAAATATCAAACCAGCTTCCTGCCTCACAGAAGGCCAAGCCAAGTCCTCCAAAGTGGTGGGCAGGGTCCCTGCAGCTCCCCTGGGGCCTGTGCCTCCACTACTTTTAAACATCAGCACTCATATTTTCCCCCAACCTAAAAAGCAACCACCAGCCTTTTACTACAGAAAGTTGAAAGAACCTGGGCTCTTGTGAAGAGTATCATGAAAACAAGGCCTGGTCCAGGTCCCTTCCCAGTCTTGATGTTACCCCAGCCTGATCACCCAGGTGAAAGAAGACATGGGGAGGAAAGAAAACTCACACACCTTGGGATGGATCCTGTTATTTATGCTTGCTGCACAGACAATATTAGACAGGAAAAAAAAAAGAAAGAAAAAAAAAAAACGCTTTGTATTATTCTTCCACATATGCTGGCTGCTGTTTACATACCCTGCCAATGCCTTAGACACACCTTGGGATGGATCCTGTTATTTATGCTTGCTGCACAGACAATATTAGACAGGAAAAAAAAAAGAAAGAAAAAAAAAAAAACGCTTTGTATTATTCTTCCACATATGCTGGCTGCTGTTTACATACCCTGCCAATGCCTTAGCACTGGAGAGCTTTTTGCAATACGCTGGGGAAAGGGGAGGGAGGGGATGAAAAGTGCCAAAGAAAACATGTTTTTAAAAGCTCGGGTTTTATACAATAGAATGTTTTCTAGCAGATGCCTCTTGTTTTAATATATTAAAATTTTGCAAAGCCCTTTAAGCTATAACCTTGCTCCACCCATGGTCCTTTTGTTACGAGGTAGAAGATCTCATGACACCATGCACATGAACCCACGGCCTATAAAAGGACACAGGGCAGTTGCCCAGTTCCTGTCCTCTGAAGGCTAATACCATTGGAAATGCCAATTGCTCCACACCAGCAGGGAGGCCCCATCAGGCCTGCAGCAGCAGTATATCCAGTTCAAACCAGGAGCAGGAGAGAGCCTGGCCCTCTCCCAAGAGTCTAAAAACCACCCCAAAGAATGTGAGCATGTGCAACTTGCTCTCTGGCACCAAGGGAGGGGACTTTCTCCGACCTAAGCGTCCTACGCTCCTTCTGATTTCTACTCCAGGACCTGGGCTCCAATTAACTTCAGAACCTGTCTTGGTTCCTTTAAACAGGAAAGATAACACCTAAGGACTTGTATATACTTATTTCTCTGGATATGACAGGCCTATTATCTGGCTGCTGTCAGAATGGGGTGAAGTGCATCAGGGAGGATTGGGACCACTCATGGCAGCAAACTGTCTAGCGGCTTGGGCTCTCTGAAAGTCCCTAACTTCCTGAGGGGTACGCAAATATTGCTCTATTTCACTATCAGAAATGTTCTCATCTCCAGTAACTGTGGAGACAGGGGGTGTAGGACAGACCCGCTTTGGGGGCTTCAACATGCAGGGTGGGAGGAGAAGGGCAGGACTAGCTGATCGCTTCCTCTCAGGAAAATCTAAGGAACTATTCCCCACTTCCTCTTTTCCTTGTCCTTGCCCCTGTCCCATCCCCTGCAATTCCTTCTGGGCCTCTACTTCTGCTGTTCCTTCTCGAAAGGCCTTGCGGATCAATGTGTGGCGGTGCTGGAGCAGATCACCAATGTACTTCACCACAGACCTTTTGTCAAGTTTCAGAACCTGCAACCAGGCCAGCTGCTCAGCCATCCGCAGCAGCACAGCCAGCAGCTCCTGTAGGCGGGAGGAAGCGGGATAGGGCAGGTCCACATTTGCCAATTTACAAAATCGGGCCAGGGAACATGTCAGACGATCTGAAGGCTGCAGCGACTGCCAAGCCAGGAAAGTAGCAGCAGTGATAACAGGCAAGGGATGCCGCCCAGTCACCAGCCACGTCTCATCTGCCAGCTCCACCAACTGCAGTGTTCGTGACAGCATCTTCTCTTTGTCTTCCACATATTTGGCTGGCACAGATGGGGAGGCTTGGAACAGTTTGAAGCTGAAATAACCAAAATGAGAATCTAGTCTCAATGCCTAATGGAGCTGCTCTTCCAAAGCGAGAAAGAGCAGTCTGCTCAAGATGGAAAAGCTGTTCTAGCCTCTTGGGAACACTCAAGCTTGCTTTCATACAGGTACTGAGATAAAACAGGATGAGCCTTCTGCTTTTGAGGTGAAGGTCAGGAGAATGCAGAAGGTAGCTAACATTTGTTGAGCACCCTGTCAGCCATTATTCTAGTGCTTTACAAATGTTCTTTAATCTACTCTACATCCTGCTATATGCATTTACAGTTTAAAAACGTGCCCATAATCAAACAAGCTTCAAACCCCAGACTATTTGACACTGATAGCCTTTGCTTTCTACTATATTTGTCAGAAAAAAAGAACATAGCTAATTTAAAAAAAAGAATTAGCTTCTAACTGCAGCTCTGCCATCTACTAATATTCTTTTAGCTCCATTCAAAGATGATTCCACTGGGGCAAGGCTGTTGCATACAGCCGTGCAGGCCATGCACAACATAAGTGGCACAACTCAGGAGCCCTGTGCCAAGGCCAAGACCTACTTTCCTACATCATTAGGTTGCTGTGAGGATAATAGGATTTGAAAATCATAACATTCTAGAAATGTAAAATGGGATTAACCTTATTAGTACTAGGCACAGGAAAGGGAGACAGCCAAAGGTAAACGGATTCAGTTCTAAGGACTCATCCCATCCCAGTGTCTCCCACTAGGCAGGTACCTGCTACAGTAGGTCTTCACCAGGTCTGCCAAGCAAAGAGATGGCACGTCCAGCCCCAGGAGCTTCACTATCTGCATGTAAGTGCCAGAAAACACATCCAAATCTGCATACAGCAGGGTGCAGATGGTTCCCATGGTTAAGGGCCAGTTATGCTGCCGGCAGGTGATTAAGACGCAGCACCCAACCAACACCTCCTTCTTTTGCAGTCTGGCAGCACGAATACCAGAGTGTCGGTATGCCTGTTTATAGTAAGCAACTGCTGTGTCCTCAAATGTTGATGGTAACTGCAAAACTCGACAGAGGTCCCTCACTCGGCAGAGACCTAAGAAAAACCACAGCAAGAGTTAGCGGGGGTCAAAGGAGCTCTGTGCAGCTCCTAGCAATTTCTGCTAAACCTGCCTCTGATACAAGATGCACAAATAACATATAGTACCTTTCTACAATGACAGTAGTGACACTTAGTGAAGTCATTCTGAAAGCACAAAGAAATTTGTGGAAAGAAGTCACATTTCAGCCCATCATTTTTTGGAGGCTGGTTTGACTCAGGGCCAAGCCAAAGTCTACCTCAAACATATCCCTGAACAAACCCAAAGCTTATACTGAATTGATCCCTCTCCTAGAACCATCCCTATCTTTTACTTCTAATTACCATGCTCTTCTACTCTACCTAACATGGTAATACTGAAATCAAGAAAAGCAAACAGATGGGCTGAACCATCAGAATTTTCTTTAAAGTCATTGTAACATAAAAGGTTGATTCTCACCTCGTTGTTGACTGCGACCAACTTGTTCATTTTCTCCTGTGCTTCGGGAGTATGTTACTTCTGTAAGAAAATGTACAACAAATAGGTTGTTTAGCCTTTATGCACCAGACCCCTACTCTCTCACTACACAAAGCTGGGGAGAATTCAAATCATTATGCATCTGCTCCTTTCTCATAGAAGGTGCCCATCTATGCACGTTAAAAGTCTCTGATTTTCTCTGTCCACAAGATGTATCAAATACACAGAGACTGAGGAAGATTGGGACTGCACTAAAGAGGCTCCAAGTGTTCCAGATTTTCAGAAATTTCAGTACAAATTTGTATCCTCCTGTAAATCAAATCCAGGCAATTTTCCTGGCTGCAGATTTTGAGGGCTGCACGGGTCTGGGACTTGGAAAGCAAAGAAAGAAAGATGTTTTGCCAATCAGTGCTAAAAACTACTTCGGGTTAACAATATGTGCTGTATTTATAAAGAATTGATCCACAGTCTTTCCCCTATGACCAGACTAGATAAGCTGAGTGGAACTTTCTCTTTGTTTCATTTATTCAAGGTTTATTATACCTCCTACTTTATATGCCAGATAATGTACTAGATACCAGGAAAACACATGAATGGCGGTCCTTGACATCCTGCAGCTCACTCGTTCACTCTAGGTCGTTTTCTCCCATATTTAAGTGTGTACGTGACAAGGAGTGGGCGGGAGATAAGAAGAACCTAATGGCAATCGTTCTACCGCCCCAGGCTGTATCCACACCTCCCCGGAAAGGCTGGCACAGGTACCTCGGAGGTTACCCTCCTCGCTGAAGGTGGTAGTAAGAACTCCCTCGGTGACCACGCAGCCGCAGTCAGAGCACACCAGCTGGCTCTGCGAATAGTGCGAATCTTCCACCAGCTCAGTGGAGCCGCAGTCGGGGCAGCGGCCTCCGCCCGGCATCTCACAACCTGCCCGGTGCTGCGGAGGCTTTCCAATATCCAGCCCCGACGTCTGCCACAACAATCGAGCGGAAACAGAAACCAAAGGGGGAGCCTTCTAAGGGCTGCACCTTTCTCTTCCGGCCAGCGCGACAGCGATACAGGTAGGTCCCTCGCCTCGGAGACAGCACGACACTTCCGGTCCGTATTTCTTCAGACTCGGGTAGAAAAGTAAGCTAGGCGAGGAGGTTCCTGGCCTGGACTGCGTCTTTGGGTTCCCAGATATCCGTAGCTAGTTTGAGGTGGGCCAGCGTATTGGGCTGAATTTGGGTGAACTTTCTACCTACATGGACAAGAAATTGTTGCCTTCCCCCAGACAACTCTCCTCTCTAAAGTGCTATGGGATTGCAGAGTCTCTATTTCTCTTTGGTAATAAATGTTGATTTTGGCTATAGAACAAAGTATGCGCTTTAAAGGGAGAGTAATGTAGTGAAAGAGCAGGAAATTGTGTTCTACTTTCTGGAGTGTCTTCCCCAAGCAAGTTGCTTCCTCTCTTTGCAGTCTGTTTTTTCAACTGTAGAATGAGGGAGTGTAATTAAAATCCAGAGTGGCAAAGTCAAATACTTTCAGAGGCTAGGGAAGAAATGTCTAAGGGAGTTGGAGTGAAAGAATACAGAGAAGTGAAGCTTTTGGCAGACTGGAGGGTTTAAGCTTGAGCTTTAAGGTGCTGCAAAATTCTGGCTCCAAAGTACTTAGCATGGTATTGTATATATTAAAGAATCTTGAGTAAAATTATTGCTATTCCTGGAACCAAGCTTACAAATTGTTTACGAAAAAGAGGCCACATACTAAACCTGACAAGCTCAAGAGAGGTCTGCATCGTGGGCCTTACAAACACAGAGACCAAAAGTAACCACATAGGATGATCTGAACATAAAAATTCCTAACTAAAAATGAGTCATGGCAGGTAGTCACATCCTGGGCCTGTAGCTTCCTTGGCAAAGGTCAATCTTTACCTTAAGTAAGTTTGGCTATTGTCTTTTTTGCATCTAAGATAACATAATCCCTTTTCTGGACACCCAGGGTACACTGCAACAGCAGAGCACAAGACCACAGACCCTCCCATTGTTATCTTGTTCCTCAAATACCATCTCTATGTGCTGTAAACGTTAATGATTAAATATCCTGTACTCACCAATGTAAAAGAAGTATGTGTCTCTTCGTTTTACTTTTTATCCAGTCCCAGGGATCTCCCCACTTTGCTTTCTCCTGCTCCCTTAATCTACCACCAATGGATTTCATGTAACCCTCCTTACCTCCTTTGATTCTAATGTATAAAGTAAGCTGCAAAACTGCCATTCTCTGGAGCATTTTCTCAATTAGTTGAGATCTTGCTTCCCAGCGTTTGTCATCAGTTTGGCTCAAATAAACTCATAAAAATTCTCTATAGGTTTAGGCATTTCTTATGTTTATAAAATTAAAAATTTTGTATGTTATGTTTAAGTATAAATTAAAAGTCACCAAAAAGAGTATATTTTCTTATAAATAAATCCTAATTTCATTCTAAGAATATTGATTTTAATGCTTGAAAATTTTAGGATCAGTTCTGTCTGAAAAATAAGAATGTTGAGTTAGACAACCAGAGGTCTAATGACTCCAAGAAAGCAGATGGGAGTTATGATAGTGAGAGATGAAAGTGTGTAGACAATTTCTGTTTCTCAGGCTGACAATGGAGAATTTCGAGCAAGCCTCTGGCATTGGGAGATTTTTAGAAGCTGTAGTGGGCTCAATTTCAACCTCTCATGGGAATTGGGGTGGAGAGTGAGATTAGACCTTACCACTGAGAACAGAAAATGATTGGACAGCTCCTATGTAGAATGAATTGAAGGATAATGGTGTTTTGTCAGCCCCTTAACAGATAGGGATACTCTCTTGAGGAATAAGATACAGGTTACAGCTGCCTTCTTTAGAAGATCAATAAATTATTATGCATCCTAAAGCTGAAAAAAAAATCAAAAGAAAAATGGTGTTTATAAGTCTAAAGAGTTGAGGCTACAGCGTGACCATGTATCCAGTGAATCTTCAAACAGTATTTGAGTCTCAAAAAAAAATGGATCTGAACAAACAGAGGTGTAGGTTCTTTTGAAAGAGCTATAATCAGTAGTGAGGTACAGAGGACTCCCTCTATGCCTCATGAGACTGTAAGTTCCCTGACCCGCAGTACAAAACAAGGACATATCTAACACACACACACACACACACACACACACACACACACACACACACACACACACACACAGAGTACATCTTGCACATATACCACAAACAC